CTGGCTAGGATGTTTGTTTTGGAGGCCATTTTGCTTTACTGGGGTCGCTTCCATGCCCAGCCGCCAGGGCGGTGGTGTATGTTTTATTTGCATGTGGCAGCTGGGCATTTGCACTCACTTTTTGGGGTGTGGTTTGCTTCTGTTTTGTGCTCCTGCTCTTAACAGTGACATAGTTCTGGTTTGGGTTATGTCTGCTCTGTTAGGGGTATGTAAATTGCTCCGAGTTCCTGCATCCCTGCTGAGGTGGTGTTGGTTGTTTTGGTGAGTTTGTGCTTCTCTCGCTGTACTGCTTTTATTGTGCTTGTTGGGGTCACACTGTGGCTTTTTGCGCCTGCCTCTTCCCCGTGTTTTTTCCTGGGGTTCTTCGTTTGTAGCCTTTACCTCAGCTTTGCTTCCTGCATTCACTTTCCTTCCTCCTCTGCCTCTGGGGATGTTCTTTTTCTTGTTTATGTGGCTCATTTGGGTACTCAGTTGCCCCTGGTGTTCCTTTCTTGGTGTTCTGTTCGTCTTCAGTCGTCCATCTTTTTCCTACCCTGTTTTGTCTGCAGTAGCATGTATGGCTGTCTTTTATCTCTTCCTCTGGAAGTTTGGGTTCTTGGGGGGCTCTTTTCTTCCCCTATGTATGTGTTGCTTGCTTAAAGTCCATTCTTCAAGACCACTCCTGCTGTGCGTACTTTCCTTGGGAACGTCCATGATCCTACAGCTGCTTCTTGACATTCTATGTCTTGTTCTTCATATTCTTGGCGTCCTACCCTGTATGTTTCCCTGTGGACTTTTGGGAGGTGTTTTAGTGTTTTCTGACTGTGGTTCTGGGGTAGATTTCTTTATTTTTCTGGGCACCAGTTTTGTGCCTGGTGCACTTGCCCTGTATGATCTTCCGGCTCTAAACCCTGCGGCCATCAATATCCTGTCCGTATTATGGCCGTTTTAGCCGTGGTGCTTTTTTTATCAGGGTCCTGTGACTTCCCCTCCATATTATGTTCTTTTTTATAGATGTCTACAGACACTTTTCATTCTTGTGGGGCATCTTTCCGCTGGCAAATGTGGTAGAGAGGGCTCCCCCCCAGGTTCATTTTTGGGTTCCCTATGGTTCCTCGGATTCGTCTTTTCGGAGGTTTTCTTCTGCTTGGATTCCCTTTGGAAGGTTGGCGCATGCCTCTGGTCGGACCCAGTTTCAACTAGGTGTTAGATCCAGTTTTCTTTGAGTTCCATTCTTCTTCTTCTGCTAGTGGGCGTTTCGTGTTTCTGGTGCCTTCCTGGCTGACAGCCTATGTCGTTGGTTAGTTAGTGTGGGCTTCCTTCTGGTCTGCTTGTCTGCTGGCCAGTGATCTGGTTCTTTCCCAGCTTGCCGGGATCATTTCCCTTTGGAATTGGTGGGAGTCCCAGAATCTGTCCCAGATTCGGCCTTGGTTAGTTCTCGTGTGGGATTCTTGGATGGCGTCTGTCTCTCTCCCTCTCCTGCAGTCCTGCTTTCAGCTCTTTTTGAGAGGGACCCGAGTAATGCAGTGGTTGCTCAAACAGCTGTGCAGGAGCCTGAACTTTGCCTTGTTGGTTTTCCCACTGGGCACGGTTTGGTTTCAGTGGCTGTTCTTGTACCTTCGGGACAGCCCCTTTAACCGCTCTCACGATCGCTGGATTTGATCCTGGAATCCTTGCATTGGATGCTGCATCTCCGGCTTCTCCAAGTTTTTCGGGGGTTTAGTGCCAATGCGTCTTCCTTTGCACTCACTCGATATGTTCATTGAGCGCGTTCTTCAAATCTGGGCTGGGGTTTTGTGCCGGCCAGGGGCGTTGGGGCTCCATCCTTCCATCGGGCTCATAGCACGGTGCGGGAGTTTGCGGCTGTTTAGCAAGTGTTACGTAGGATTCGGATCCCTCAAGCTCTGTGATCCGGCTCCATTTGTACTGTGCACCATTGGTTACTGTGCACCGGACCGCAGAGACCCGCAGAGACCCCGCAGGGGGGGGGTCTCTGCGGTCCGTTGTTTGTTGTTAAAGATCGCTACCTGGAACAAAAAGTTCCAAGTAACATGGGCTATGGTGAGCCCGTAGTGGCTCTTTGGAGCTGATTGCTTTGAGTGGCTCTTCAGCTGAGTTCTCAGGGTTTGGCTCTCCATGCTGTTCATATTCAGGGTGTGCCCAACGTTCTGGCAGACAGCCTGTCACACTCCCTTCCTCTTTCCACAGCGTGGTCGGTCGACGACGCCACCTTCCTTTGGGTTTGCTGGACATTCGGGCCCCCGAAGATGAACCTCTTTGTGTCGGCATGGTCTCGGCGTCTCCTGTTATATGTGGCGCCATTCCCCGATTGCGAGGCCATCACAGTGGTCTCTTTTCGGCAGGAATGGTCGAGGTGGGGGTTCTTGTACCTTTATCAGTCCAGGTGTTGGCTTGGCTTATGAAGAATGGCCCAGCCTTGGTTTCAGGTGCTGCTTGCTCGGTGTCTGAACCCGAGAGATTAACCTGAACTCTTAGCGTCTCATCTTTTTGACGTGGAAGTATCGCCATTTATAAGGTGATCAAGTGGCTTCTTTGATGGTGTCCCACCTGCAATCTTCCTCTCAGCAGCAGTATGGAGTCTACTGGTGGTCTTTTCCGCCATTTCCTTTCCCTTCATAGGGTCTCGCCAGTGTCTGTACCAGTTCTTTGTTAGAACTGGCATCTCATGCTGAATACTGTCACTTCTTATTGTGCGGCATTGGCGGAGCCACTCCAGCTTGCGTTCGGGCTGGAAGTCACTCCTGCTTCATTCCATAAGCTCTCGTGCGTATTTTTGCCTCTGGCCTGCTAATGTGCTGCCAATTTTCTTGGTCTTTGGACAAGGTGCTCTCGTTTCTCTCCTCCCTCCAGTTTGTAGTGACCCCATCGGTAGGTGATTGTTTTGTAAAAGCTTTGTTTTTGTTGGCTTTAGCCTTGGGGGGGGGGGGGGTCAGGTTGGAGAGCTTCATGCTCTTCTCCGGCGTAGAAGGTTTTGCTCCTTTTGTCCTGGGGATTGTTTTGTTAGTTTGCATGGCGAAGAATGAGATGGCGGGCTTCCAGAGGGGTCTATTGGGTTGTTGTTTGCTTGGTTAGTTAGGCCGCGGGTGCATCATATTTTGTGTCCGGTTGCTGCTTTACGTTGTTACAGGTACCTGCGTAATCCCTGTTCCGGGGCTCGTGTGTCTCAGGTTGTCTGCAGGGTTATGAAGTCTAGCCAGCCTGAGGTCTATCTTCATGCTCATGATGTGAGGAAATATGCTGCTCTCACTGCTGTATTTGGGTATTTTTCTTGGGTTGACATTCAGGCATGGGGGTTTTGGAAATTGAACAGGATCCTGGCCACCTGTTATCTTGTCAATATCAGAGCACTCTATGGCCTTGTGTTACTTTATACGCCTTTAATTTCAGCATTTAAATCCTGTAAGGATTCCTGCTGTTTTTTCGGCCTCTTCTGGAAATCCACCAAACTCCCCGTGATATGAATGTTTCACTGTATAATGACGTTTAAGCAGGCTTCATAGGTCTTCGTGTGTGTTAGCTCCAGCACGCACACGTTACCCAGGGCATTATATACTGCTGTACCCAGTGAAACTAAGAGTACTGCTTTATTGTTTGTGTCCTTAATCCCACAGTACTGAAAGTTTGCTTCCAGCTGGCTCAGCCACAGGTCTAACGAGATCTTGGTAGCATCATATGGCTCCATTGGGATGAGTGATGGGGCAGCCATGCCCACAGGGTTTAACACAACTCACTGTGTTCTAAATTCTTACACACGATGTACTCCTCTCTCTGATGCACCACTCCTCGTCTTGTACCCGGGCTCTCTGTTTTAGGTGTTAATCCTCGTCGCCACTGTTATAATTCATCAGGAAGAGAAACGAACGTGCACACCATGTGGCATTTATTACAACAACAACAACAACAAAGATGTCACCGGGTATTGGTTACATGACTTACTATTTACAATGTTTATAAAACAAAAGAGCATCTGCTCGAAACATTATGCACTTAACCTATATAGTATTCAATCCTACAAAATACCTTAATCCTAACAAGTGCTATTACATCCAGGTTTTCCATTTGTGCTTTTTTCCCAAGTTCGCTTATTTTAAATGTACTGTAATCCCATATGTGTTTAAGTAAATTACTTTGAGTTTGAGTACATTACAGTTTTAGGTGTACTTTGTACCTTTTCTACCTACTGACGTTCTAATTGTGGCCGGATAAAAGTAAAATGTCAGTTTTGCTTTTATCCAACCACTTACAATAGACTTTATTGTAAGTGGGACTACATAAAAAGATAAGAGGATACTTGAACAGTTTGTTTAGATGGGTCGGAGCTGGTTCAGTCAAATAGGATGACCGTACCTGACCTCAGGCAGAGCAACAGTATGTATAAAATAAAGTTCCAACAGCCTATACTCACCACATACAGCCCAGCTCCTGTGCAAGGTAACTCCATGATGTGCTCACCATAGCCCGTGGTACTTGCAACTTTTTGTTCCGAGTAGCTGAATCTAAAACAACTTGTACTTCTTCAACCCTTTGAGACAAAATAGCAGTGTATCTCGAAGTAGATGTTTCTGAGACAGGTATTGCTGCTGTTGATATTAATCTCTTACATTTGATGAGGTGTACTACAGGAGGTTCTCATGGTGACTGCCAGTGTGAGAAGAGCTAGGGTAATTTTTTAGTGTTGCTGGCAAACACTAAAATGTACTACTAAACTACATGTTAGTATTGTTGTCACAGCAAAGGTGGACTGTACATCTAAAAACCCAAAATGGAATAACTCTGTCTTCATTAACATTGTAACACCTGAAAATGCTATTTTATGTTTACTTAGAAGACCATGGCGCCCCATGACAGAATATGGCTACTTTATACAGTAGAGACTATTACATAGGTATTGTTAATGTTAGCCTGCATAAATCAACACCAGATTGAACATTATTACATATCTTTCCCCGCATCACTAAAGCAACAGCAAACTTATAATTGTTATCCTTTATCTCAGGTGAACTACTACTTCTTGTGGAGTACTGCAAGTATGGCAACATTCTTGACTACATGCGTCGCCATCGTAAAGAGTTTGTCAACCAAATTAATGATGAAGATAAGATAGACCCAACTCTTACTGATTTACGGCTAAGTCGACGCAGCGGCTCCGAATCACGGTACACAACATTGTTATGGTTGTAACATCCTTTACTTAATGAATCACTTGTAATTAAGCAGGTCTGTAAGACACACGGCAAAATTCTGGCCAATAATATTGAAGAGAGCTAACGGGAAATAAAAATAAGACATATAGCTTCATAATAATTAATTTAAATTTAACTGAATTAGGTACAAAAATTATATCTATACTTTGAGAAAGAATGCTTGACTGGTCAAAGTTGGAGGCCATACGCTTAGGACTAGGCACACTCAAATTGGCAGAGGAAATAATCTGAGGTACGGGATGAACATACCTTGATCTCTCTTAAGGCGTTCTGTTTGGTGTCTGGAGAGTTCTTCATAAGAAGGTTTGTCGTCTTCTTGTTTTCGTAGTAAATTGTTAAATGGATCCTCTGATTTGTGTCTGTGGGGATAATGGTCCAATCAATAATATCCTTCAGGATATATATATATATATATATATATATATATATATATATATGTATATATATATATATATATATATATATATATATATATATATATATATATATATATATATATATATATATATATATATGCGGAAAATCCACAGAGAAATATGAAATGAGGTGAACGTTTCGGCTTTGTTAAAGCCTTTGTCAACACCAGACTGACTAAGGAGAAGGGAGAAGGGGGAGGATATATAGGCCGACACCTGACCAACCCATCCCTAGGGTTGGTCAGGTGTAATTAACCAAAATCAGGTATAGCTTAGCTTAAAATGGTCAAAGAGGATTAAGCGGTCAGAGAATAAGGATGAAAGATTAAAGAAAAGCCTCATGAACACACAATATATGAATATACAATTATAATGAGACATTGTAAGCCTCTCTATCAGAGTTGTTTCTTAAACTGTTGTGCAATATTATAACTTAAAAATGGATCAAGTTTGTACATTCCAGTACTAACATTAAGAAGATTTGGACACTGACTGATTAGAGCAGACTCAATCAAATTCCGTTCCACGAAATCCCCACAATTGGTAATGCTTTTTGCCCCATTCCAGTTAATATTGTGATCGCATAAACTCGTATGTAGATACAATGCATTAGACGTTTGGGCAGTTCTAATACTATAAGCATATTGTGACAACCGCAATTGTAAGGACTTTCCTGTTTGTCCAAGGTACACAGAATCACAATCATTGCAGGGAATTGAATACACACAACCTGCTGTATCAGGGGAGTTTTTTATTAAATTGGATTTGATCGTACCATTAGTGAACACCAAATTTATATTAAGTTTCTTAAAAATCAGAGACAATTTTTCAAGTCCACTCGCATAAGGTACCACCAATGAGTTAATAATTTTTGGTTTCGCCTTAGGGACGTGATTATAAAACGTACGTTTGGCTTGTACAAACGAGAAATCCAAAACCCTCTTAGGATATTGTAAACTCTTCCCAATTTCATATATTTTAGCAATCTCTTCATCAAAAAACTCAGGGCTGCAAACCCTCAAAGCTCGTAGAAACATTCCTGAAAATACTGCCTGTTTAACTTTACTATGATGATTCGAATAAAAATGAACATACGACCCCACGTTGGTAGGTTTCCTATACACATTAAATTTGAATATAGGAAACCTACCAACGTGGGGTCGTATGTTCATTTTTATTCGAATCATCATAGTAAAGTTAAACAGGCAGTATTTTCAGGAATGTTTCTACGAGCTTTGAGGGTTTGCAGCCCTGAGTTTTTTGATGAAGAGATTGCTAAAATATATGATATGTGATATATGATAATATATGTGACAACCGCAATTGTAAGGACTTTCCTGTTTGTCCAAGGTACACAGAATCACAATCATTGCAGGGAATTGAATACACACAACCTGCTGTATCAGGGGAGTTTTTTATTAAATTGGATTTGATCGTACCATTAGTGAACACCAAATTTATATTAAGTTTCTTAAAAATCAGAGACAATTTTTCAAGTCCACTCGCATAAGGTACCACCAATGAGTTAATAATTTTTGGTTTCGCCTTAGGGACGTGATTATAAAACGTACGTTTGGCTTGTACAAACGAGAAATCCAAAACCCTCTTAGGATATTGTAAACTCTTCCCAATTTCATATATTTTAGCAATCTCTTCATCAAAAAACTCAGGGCTGCAAACCCTCAAAGCTCGTAGAAACATTCCTGAAAATACTGCCTGTTTAACTTTACTATGATGATTCGAATAAAAATGAACATACGACCCCACGTTGGTAGGTTTCCTATACACATTAAATTTGAATATAGGAAACCTACCAACGTGGGGTCGTATGTTCATTTTTATTCGAATCATCATAGTAAAGTTAAACAGGCAGTATTTTCAGGAATGTTTCTACGAGCTTTGAGGGTTTGCAGCCCTGAGTTTTTTGATGAAGAGATTGCTAAAATATATGAAATTGGGAAGAGTTTACAATATCCTAAGAGAGTTTTGGATTTCTCGTTTGTACAAGCCAAACGTACGTTTTATAATCACGTCCCTAAGGCGAAACCAAAAATTATTAACTCATTGGTGGTACCTTATGCGAGTGGACTTGAAAAATTGTCTCTGATTTTTAAGAAACTTAATATAAATTTGGTGTTCACTAATGGTACGATCAAATCCAATTTAATAAAAAACTCCCCTGATACAGCAGGTTGTGTGTATTCAATTCCCTGCAATGATTGTGATTCTGTGTACCTTGGACAAACAGGAAAGTCCTTACAATTGCGGTTGTCACAACATGCTTATAGTATTAGAACTGCCCAAACGTCTAATGCATTGTATCTACATACGAGTTTATGCGATCACAATATTAACTGGAATGGGGCAAAAAGCATTACCAATTGTGGGGATTTCGTGGAACGGAATTTGATTGAGTCTGCTCTAATCAGTCAGTGTCCAAATCTTCTTAATGTTAGTACTGGAATGTACAAACTTGATCCATTTTTAAGTTATAATATTGCACAACAGTTTAAGAAACAACTCTGATAGAGAGGCTTACAATGTCTCATTATAATTGTATATTCATATATTGTGTGTTCATGAGGCTTTTCTTTAATCTTTCATCCTTATTCTCTGACCGCTTAATCCTCTTTGACCATTTTAAGCTAAGCTATACCTGATTTTGGTTAATTACACCTGACCAACCCTAGGGATGGGTTGGTCAGGTGTCGGCCTATATATCCTCCCCCTTCTCCCTTCTCCTTAGTCAGTCTGGTGTTGACAAAGGTTTTAACAAAGCCGAAACGTTCACCTCATTTCATATTTCTCTGTAGATTTTCCGCATAAAATGATCAGTGTTTTGTGATCGTCAATTGCATATATATATATATATATATATATATATATATATATATATATATATATATATATATATATATATATATATATATATATATATATATATATATATGACAATGTCAGACCACGGAGGAAAAATGAAACAGGAATTTCCTTAAGTACTTTTGTATATTAAATACATCTTCAGAAGGTCATTTTACAGATCGAGTGATGGGTATAAATAGGCAGGAGAGAGTGGTGAAGTAAGGTGAGGTACAATACTTGGACAACGCAGACGGCCCATTGGCCCATCAGATGCACCCAATTGGCCCATCCGATGTAGCCCAATGGCCCATCTGATACAGCAGACATACAAGCATAATACATAGGTAATTATAACATAAAGAGGTAAATATATATAATAAATTAGTGAGACAAATGTTTTTCAATGATCCTACTTAAATCGCATTTTTTTTAACCTAATCTAATTTTTCTAATCGTATTTTTTTTTTGGAAGTTTGTCGTAACAAAGCACGTCGTACATATTATAATAATGTATGCAGTGAAAGGATTCGCCCAAAGAATGTGTTATGTTTACCATATTTCTCTGGGTTTGAGAATATTGTCAAGGCCTTGAAACTTTTTAATATAGATGTAATGTTTAGCTACGAAAACACTGTTGGTAAGCTATTAGTTAGGAACAGCCCTCGTAGTGATAATTGCGTCATTTATAAAATACCTTGTAAGGAATGTAATAAGTTCTATGTCGGGCAAACATCTAAAGATTTAAAATGTAGAATATCGCAACATAAATACTCTGTAAGACATGGCCAATTGTCTAATGCTTTGTTTGTGCATTTGTCAGAAAAAGCTCACCAAATTGATTGGGAGAGTGCTTCTTCAATAACAAATTGTAAAAGCACCTATAACAGAAACATAATTGAATCTGCTTTGATACAGATCACCAAAGAAAGTAATTTGAATATTAGTAGTGGTCTATATAACTTAGATCCATTTCTAATAGATCAGCTAAAGGGCGATTTAAGTAGGATCATTGAAAAACATTTGTCTCACTAATTTATTGTATATATATACCTCTTTATGTTATAATTACCTATGTATTATGCTTGTATGTCTGCTGTATCAGATGGGCCATTGGGATACATCGGATGGGCCAATTGGGTGCATCAGATGGGCCAATGGGCCGTCTATGTATATATATATATATATATGTATATATATATATATATATATATATATATATATATATGTATATATATATATATATATGTATATATATGTATATATATATATATATATATGTATATATATATATATATATATATATATATATATATATATATATGTATATATATATATATATATATATATATATATATGTATATATATATATATATATATATATATATATATATATATATATATATATATATATATATATATATATATATATGTATATATATATATATATATATATATATATATATATATATATATATATATATATATATATATATGTATATATATATATATGTATATATATATATATATATATATATGTATATATATATATATATATATATATATATATATATATATATATATATATATATATATGTATTTATATATATATATATATGAATGAAAACTCACACCCCAGAAGTGACTCGAACCCATACTCCCAGAAGCAACGCAACT